AGTAGAAGTACTCAGGTCTTGTTCTTGAGTAAAAGTAGAAGTACTCAGATCTTGTTCTTGAGTAAAAGTAGAAGTACTCAGATCTTGTACTTGAGTAAAAGTAGAAGTACTCAGATCTTGTTCTTGAGTAAAAGTAGAAGTACTCAGATCTTGTTCTTGAGTAAAAGTAGAAGTACTCAGATCTTGTTCTTGAGTAAAAGTAGAAGTACTCAGATCTTGTACTTGAGTAAAAGTAGAAGTACTCAGATCTTGTTCTTGAGTAAAAGTAGAAGTACTCAGATCTTGTACTTGAGTAAAAGTAGAAGTACTCAGATCTTGTACTTGAGTAAAAGTAGAAGTACTCAGATCTTGTTCTTGAGTAAAAGTAGAAGTACTCAGATCTTGTTCTTGAGTAAAAGTAGAAGTACTCAGATCTTGTACTTGAGTAAAAGTAGAAGTACTCAGATCTTGTACTTGAGTAAAAGTAGAAGTACTCAGATCTTGTTCTTGAGTAAAAGTAGAAGTACACCATGTACCTCTGAACTGTAGTGGAAGTACACAGTATCAGAAAATGTAATACTCAAGTTAAGTACAAGTACCTCAAAATGTACTTAAGTACAGTGCTTGAAGTGTTTTTATGAGTTTCTGCAGAAGTCAGCAGATGCTAACATGCTAAGCTAACAGTGGTGTTGCATCAGCCCTGTATGATAATAATAAACAAATCATCTTTGATTGATTACCCGTCAATAACGCTCTGTTAATAATTATATAAAAATAATAATAATAATATGATTATGTTGGATTTGATATTAAAACTAAACTGTCACAACAACAACAACAACAAGTTAGGAAATGAAAGATAATAAACATATATATATATTCCTTATCTTGGATTTCTTAACAAAATAAAACGTATCAATGATAAAAAATTGGATTTTAAAAAGTAAATGTTGGACCTTTTAAAGAATCTGTTCTTCATGCTTTATGATGTGTTTAAGCTCTCGCTGTCTCACTGTTGCATTGTGGGAAATTTAGTTGTAATGGCTCCCTGACTCAGCATCAGACATTTACCCGAACATCATCGCCATGGGTTTCCCCGCGGACCGCCTGGAGGGCGTCTACCGGAACAACATCGACGACGTGGTGCGGTGAGTCAGCTGATCAGTATACTGATCAGTATACTGATCCATCGATACAGAAACTAGGTCTGATTGATCGCCTGATTGATCGCCTGATTGATCGCCTGATTGATCGCCTGATTGATCGCCTGATTGATCGCCTGATTGATCGCCTGATTGATCGTTAAATACAGAAACTAGGTCTTAATGATGGTTGAATACAGAAACGTTAACGAGGTGTTTTTCCCTCAGGTTCTTAGACCTGAAGCACAAGAATCACTACAAGATCTACAACCTGTGAGTGCCCTCACCCCTCTGTGTTTAATATGTAGATATTAAGAACAACTATTTATATTATTTTCATATTTTTGTTTTCTACTCAAAAATGTTTTTCTTATATTTTTCTAAATTGTGTTTTCTTGGTTTCCTTTTTGCCTTTTATTGTAAATAAAACCTTTACTTCTGTCCTTAAGTATCGGGTTGGGTCTCATTTCTTATTTATCTGCAGATGAAATGAAAGATGCTAGCTGTTAGCGGTTAGCTTCTGTTCAGGAGTCTCCTTCCTGTAGATTCATGTATCATGCATCAGCTGAACTATATCTCACGTCTTGTTTCCTCAGGTGTGCGGAGCGACACTACGACACGTCAAAGTTCAACTGTCGAGGTGAGACGACGCGTTACTTTCTATGTTAATGGTTTGGAGATATTGAGTTTCTCCTTTTTGAATGTGTCTTTTCTTTGGTATACAATGAGATGATTTGCTGAATCAGAAGCTTCCTCTCTTTGAGCTTCTCTACTTACCATAGCATCAAGAATATATGTGCATTCAAATCAAAGCAGCTCCTCATGAAGCCCAAGCAGTCGTTGTTCTTCCTCTAAATCAGGGGGGTCCAAACTACGGCCCGCGGACCATTTTGAAACGGCCCTCACATAAACTTCTGCTTGTCTTACTTCTTAAATATATATGTTCAGATGTATATTACACAGTATTCATGTGTTCATAAGAGCCCACTGTTCACATTAATTCAGTCCATTCAAGTTGAAAGCGTGTTCGATCAAATCTAAGTTGATAAGAAAAAAGCCCAATCACTTATTTACACAACAAGGTTGAACTAAACTCTTCACATCTCCTCTTGTTATCTGAAATCTGAAGCTCCTGTTTTAAGGAATGAGCTGCTGACAGAAAAAAGTGAACCCTCTGGAGAGCTGATTGTTTCTTAAAGCATTCTCAAGTATCCAGAACCCTTTACCTCCTCTGATTGATTTAGCTAACTTATAACCAGAGGTGGGACCAAGTCATTGTTTTGCGAGTCCGAGTCAAGTCTCAAGTCTTTGCGCTCAAGTTCAAGTCAAGTCCTAAACTTTGACAAAACGAGTCATAAACAAGTCCTTATGTGCTTTTCACCAAATGTAATGACATCGATCAACAGAATAATACTTAATAATCAAACTGCTCTTAGTTAGTCACATTAATAAGTTAATAATCCGTTTCCTCTCTGCTAAGTAAGTAACGTGTTATTTTCTAATTCAAGAGGGATCAGTAAGGCTACCGTGACGGTTTGATTCAGAAGGAGTTTAATGGATAAGATCCCTGATGTAGAGGTGACCATGTGTTTATTACCACTGTGTACCACATGCTATAAGAGACCCACCATCTATCTTTATGCCAGGGATAATGTGCAGCGAGGCGTCTCTATGGGGGAAAGAACACCTGAGTCTAGATCCCTCTGCAGGAGGTACTTTGACTATATTGTGATGATCATACTTTTCTACTTTCACTTGAGTAACATTTTGAATGCAGGACTTTTTATTGTAACTGAGTTTTCCTACACTCTGGAACTTTTACTCAATCTAAACTTCTCCCACCTCTGACAATAAATCCTGAGTGCCAAAACAAAAACCTGCTCTGAAGGTTATTTTCATTTTACCAATCCTGCACTCAGCTTTGCTTTCTCCAGTATCTTTGAAATGCAGCCAGACGCTGCTTCTTTTTCGGTTTTTCTCTAATTTCTTGACTTTGTCCGACGCGCTTGCATTTAAATCCGGCTCCCCGTCGCTCTGTGCAGCTGGCCTGTACCACTACACCTGCTGTGCCCCCCACCCTTCTTTCACATAATGGTATGATCCTAGTGTGTCCTCGCATATGATTGGCCGCATGGTGGCCCAGCTAAATAAAGTCCCGCCCTGCCTGCAAGGATTCTCAGCTAGAGTAGAAGCGGCTG